ATATTTCTACATAATATTAATGTTTATAAATACCAATACCTTTATTAAGTGTATTTAGTTATTTATCTCTAATTAAATAGAAGACTCTTGGTTGTTTGCAGAGACATATAACTGTTTTGAACCCTTGAAACTCAAAAGCTAATTCTGACAAGAGGCTGCAGCCAAACCTTAGCCTAAGCCAACCGTTCAGCTTTAAAGTAAACCAAACATTACTTTAGTCTAAGTTAGATTCCATCCATACAAACAATGAGGAAAATATTACAAAAAATACACCACTTCATAACAATGACTTTCACACAGAGGTGTCCAAATTATTACTGTTTATTACTCCACTAGAAGTATAAATCCTACTATTTAAAAACACTTTTGTAGAAGTTAGAGGATCAACTTCAGCTTTCTACTTAAGTAAAGTACTATTTTTTTTAAAACTATTTAAATTACTTTTACTTTAAAACGTAAAAGTAATTCAGGAACAAATGTTAAGGAAAGAAGCTTTCCTGCTCTACCCTATTAAAGGAACATTCTTCTACAATTCTGGATGATAACTTCCTTAGACTTCATTTTCTTAGTTTTGTAACTAATGGTAACAGTGTTACATTTAACTTTGCATCATCTTGAAAAACTATTTATTTTGGTTTGTGGTGAGCAACAAGTTGGGGCAGCACCAAGTCCAACCACAAAGAAATTAATTGTCTGGATGAAAAAAATTATTTTGATGGGTTTTATTTTTACTTTTTAATACCAACAGGCAGTTTTGTATAAAGTACTGAAATCTCGGAGTCAATAAAAGTATAAGTACCTCTCCAAAATATGACTTTGGTAAAAGTCCAAGTCACTCACTGAAATGTTACTTGAGTAAAAGTCTTAAAGTATCTGAAATGGCTTGTACTTACCGGTAAGTATAAGAATCACTGTAAAAATAGATGTACTCAAGTAATGTAGTGAAAAGTATAAGTAAAAAGTAAGTGCAGTTTGAATGATATGTTTTTAACATTTTGGTAAACTTTGAAGGTTAAATTCACCTAAAATAATTAGGGATGCACGATATAATCGGCCCCCTATCGGTATCAGCCTTAAAACTGAATATCGGACATCGGCCCCCCCACCGATATTTAACCCGATATTTGATCAGCTTCTGAGTTTCTAAAGTCTAAAAAAAAAAAATAATTCTACTTCTTCTTCTTCCTCAAAAAT